ATTATAACCGTTTATAGGTACAGTTTTACACAAGTATTATAACTGTTCATAGGTACAGCTATACACAAGTATTATAACCGTTTATATGTACAGCTATACACAAGTATTGTAACTGTTTATAGGTACAGCTTTACACAAGTATTATAACTGTTTATGGGTACAGCTATACACAACTATTATAACTGTTTATAGGTACAGCTATACACAAGCATTATAACCGTTGATAGTTACAGCTATACACAAGTATTATGACTGTTTATAGGTACAGCTATACACAAGTATTATAACTGTTTATAGGTACAGCTATACCCATGTATTATAACTGTTTATAGGTACAGCTATACCCATGTATTATAACTGTTTATAGGTACAGCTATACACATGTATTATGACTGTTTATAGGTACAGCTATACACAAGTATTATAAACGTTTATAGTGCAGTTAAACACAAGTATTATAACCGTTTATATGTACAGCTATACACAAGTATTATAACCGTTTATAGGTACAGTTTTACACAAGTATTATAACTGTTCATAGGTACAGCTATACACAAGCATTATAACCGTTTATAGTTACAGCTATACACAAGTATTATGACTGTTTATAGGTACAGCTATACACAAGCATTATAAACGTTTATAGTTACAGCTATACACAAGTATTATAACTGTTTATAGGTACAGCTATACACAAGTATGATAACCGTTTATATGTACAGCTATACACAAGTATTATAACCGTTTATAGGTACAGCTACATGTATACACATGTATTATAACTGTTTATAGGTACATCTACATTGTATACACATAAGTATTATAACTGTTTATATGTACAGCTATACACAAGTATTATAACCGTTTATAGTACAGCTATACACAAGTATTATAACTGTTTATAGTTACAGTTATATACATGCACAATAACCTTTCATAAGTACTGCTTCGTGAACGTTTATACAGATATACACATGCATTAACGGTATATACTGTAATTTACTTTATTTCTCGTGCAATGCATTTCGTGAACTATGTTTGCAGGTTTACTTTTGTCTACTTGCTAATGAGAAGGGAAATATATATGTTTAGATATATACTCTTTTCTTGAAAATTTAAAAAAAGATTTACAGTAGAACAACATTTGTTAGTACAGCAATTTACAGGTTTTAAAGATCCCAACAAACAGACAGCAAAATAACATCATATGGAAAATTTGTTTGCAATCTTTAAAATCACTAACCGTTTCCTGTAACACTCAATGAAAATCATATATCAAAATATTAACATAAAGCTGACATGTTTTTAAAATGCAAAAGTAAAAAATAATTATAAGATTTTGAGTTTGGTTAAATGCCATCTTGGAAAACTGATCAACATTTCTTATAATTTAAATTAAAGATATTAGTATACAATTTGTTATATATCTTCTAAAAAATATTTAAACGTCTGAAAATGGGTCTAAATCTACCTAACCATTTTTATGTAGTTATGTACCTATGATAGCAGGTTGCGTTATGATAGCAAACAAATAAATAGCAGTGAAAAGTAGATAACTTTAAGGTTATAAAGTATTTGATACAAATGAATATAAGAATTCCAACTTCGATAGGTTAAGGGCTTTGACCTCATTTCTCCTAAAGCCTATTAGAGTTGTGCACGTGATGTTTTTGGTGATCGTGTTTGCGATCACGAAAGCCTTTCAGTACTAATGGAGGGCATTGTCCTGAAAAGAAAACGACTTAATACATGGTTGATATTTAAAAATATTGATAAATACATTCTCTCATATGTATATGTAAACATCTTCTAAAATGATTATGAAACAAAACGTATTCATTGTAAATCATCTAGGACGATTTTAACATGGTGGTATGTATGATAAACGAATATTTACAAACTGTCAGAATCCGCGACGCTTTTTTATTACTGTTACACTTTTGAGCTATGAAGTGTGTTACACATTTGAGCTAAGAATGTTTTTACGAGCGATGATTAGCTTCACACAAATTACGTCATATTGGTTATGCGGGTTTCGCTGCAGCCTATGAGTAGTTTATTGATTCAATAATAGATTGTCCGATGCACTCTCTAAACTTCCCCCTCCTAGAACGTTGTCCACTGATCTAGACATGCTTTAAATAGTTTGCCAAAGTTCGCATTGTAAGCATGACTTGAGCCGGTGTGTCATGAAATGTGATGTAAAGAAAGTCGACACGAAGTTAATAAATTTGTATTCAGCAAAATTTGATTGAAAAAAAACCCAACAACATATTTTACCTAAAGTTATAGGTTTTAGGGACAGTAAAGGGAAGCAGCTGACAGAAAACATTATATGTAAATAGTATATATAGACACAGTTATTCGAGTTAAGAGTCAGATCATTTCCCGACAAAAAGCTTAGCAATCAAAGCATTCCGTAAAAGGCATACACGTGTGGACCCCAATATCAGCTAAATACGGTACCTGTGGTCCAAAAGGCTACACCATTCAACGACCGAAAGGGTCAGCCATACGTAACGATACTGGTGATCGATTTGACCTTTGACCTTTAACGGCTTATAAATTGACCTTTTGCATAGTGTAAAAATTAAAGCTTCGTCGTATTGATCGATATTGAACGTAGATTTTACCTCTGGTAACTTTTACATTGACTTTGATATATCTTTTATACTGTGGTGAGTGGTGTCAATGAAATGTATGCCATAGTGATCGATTTCCCACATGACCTTACAATAACCATTTTCCTTGAAGGATGTAGCTATAGGCATCTTATCAAATTTAAAACATTCTGTTTAATTACTAGATTTTGCGAGTATTTTATTTTCACTGTTTGGCTTATAAACATCTCAAAATGTTTACCCTTTACCCTGTGTAACTCACATCAAAGTGTACCATTAGAAAACGACAATAACTGTACACCGTGGACACGTTTAGACGTTGTATAAATACATGCGCTCACATGAAGGCAAAGTATAGACAGTGGAAATATTTGGACGTGATATAAAGTCTCATAGCATATCGAAAAAGCAAACCATTTGAAAAATGTTACCTTGATGTAAATGTCATAATATACACTCGCGAAATCGTATAGCCAAATATTATATAATTTGTGATTGAAGGGGACAAGGGGAAGTCATTTAGGGAGTGTTTGTAGTAAATCCATTTCTATATTTGCCAAATATTTAACAAAGCGGCGATATGCTATATTACAATTTACTATCTTCTTACCATACATAACCTCCAATTGTATCATTGCATCCATTCTGTCTAATGTGTAATCAGTTCAGGGTGCAGTGTATCAAAAGGTAAATATATTCTTTTTGATTACCTTCTTTGTCTGATTATATTATTTGTGAGTAATCAAGTATTTTTGGTCATTTTTGCACAAAACTAAGTATTGAAACCCTGATTATTTGCACAATTAACTATTTCAACACTTTCTGAACATCTTGGGAGTTTCCATTTAATCCGGATATTTTAACAAGTTTTTTCATCTATTTTGAACAAATGGACAAAAGTATATTGTTCCTAACAAAATGACTTTCGAAAGATGGTTTCAATTTTGTTAATAAAGTTATAAAAATAAACCAGCATTTTACACAAATACTTTTTTCCAAATCAGCCACAGATAGAAGACACCATCACCAATTTAAATGTGATAGTGTTTTTAAATCTAATTCTTTTTGAAACATAGATATCTGAAAAAAACCAATATAAGTCACACTATCCAAATATAATAAGAAATAAAACGTTGTTATATTTTATCATATACAATTGCCTTATATATCAAGGGTTTTACCATCAATGGAGGTGATTAGCGGTAAAGATAATTTGCGATGTTTTCATCAATCAATATCATTGGTTGATGCTCCATGAAACGGTATTTATAAAACAGAGTGTTTGGATAAATCCAAGTGAGGATGTTTTAAAGCAATTTGACCAAACAGCAAGTCGACTTTTATCACAGTGGTATATTTGTACATATGTTCATTAATTTTGTCCCTACCAATCGTGCATGCATTCTTTATGTATCAACAGGTTTTGAATAATCAATAAAGGTTCAATGCTACTCTTCCTTCCAATAAATGCATATCATTGTTAAAACAAATATTTTTATATAAAAATATATACAAAATAATTACACAATAAACAATACTGATCCCTGTGATTGAGATCAGAAATATTGGCAGCAGCACACACTCCGATTCTGATGTAGGCAGATTCCATTAAGAGCATTTAATCAACAAATTTGTAATTCCATAAATAAGTGCCTCTTTATGCAATCGGTATTGATAAAAAGAGAAAACATTGTAAATATCACAAGAATTTTCCTTATTAACATTATAACAGGTACCCAATAAAAAAATATTACAGTTGAACTAGAAATATACAGTAAACATAACACTTGAGAATACCTAATAAAGAGAACTGTTAGAGAAGTTCTTATAAAATACTAGAAAAATATTATATAAACTGCATAAAATATCACTTGAGGATAAACATTCAGACTATCACTGAAGGAAATCCTATACAAGATATTGGAAGATACTCTATCTTAATAAAATAAAATAAAATAATAAATGACCTCTAATATATCTAACAGAAATGCATATCTAGAAACTAGATATTAAATATTACTAGAGGGTATTCTATATAAATAATAGAATTGGAAATCTTATATAAATATTACTAGATGATATCCGATATAAATAACAGTTTTGTATTCCAGATAAATATTACTTGAGGTTATTCTATACACTTGTAAGTGGAGGATACCCTATATAATTGTTACTGGCGAATACCAAGATACGACAGAGCATGAAAAAGTCCAGACGACAGTTTTGCACACGTTTATATTAAAGCTAAGCACGAAATAGTCCTGACGTCAAATAAACACTAGTTTGTTGTAAAGCCTAGCACGAAATAGTCCCGACGCCAGATAAAGCTAGTTACAGTAAAGCTTAGCACGAAACAGTGTTTAATTATGAAATATGAATTGAATATATGTCGATTGGTTTAAAATGGAGTTTTGAATAAATATTTCAAGCCAGATAAATAAACTCATGTTCATGAAGTATTAATATAGTTTTTTAAATTTTGTATTTCCTAGTTAAATATATAAATTCAAAATATGAAATTAAATCAATCTTGTATTTCATGATTCTGAACCGTGTACCTTTCTCTGCCAACATCAAATTGAATATCGTCGCTGTATATATCACCCACCCGTCTCTCTGAGAGGTTATGAGTTTGAAATAAGCAATGTATGTAAATGGTTAGTGCAATCTTAAGGCAAAAAATTACACCTTTGATCACATTTTGGAATTACAATAAGTACAATTCATCATTTCAATATAATTGAGCATTGTGGACTAAATCGTTAACACTATTCTTTGTACATATTTATAAACTATATCAAAGTAACATTCATATCTTTCTCCGTAACTTCTGGCACAGAGTCAAACGACTTCAGATGGCATTCGTCCCGGAAACAGTGAAGTCTTTTAAGTGTTTCAATATCCTGGTATGACGCATTGTTAAATTGTTTACAGAACATTTGGCTCTCAATACTCTGCCGCGTCCGGTGACTGGAGCAGCTTTTGTGACGACACAAACAATGCAGACGACCATCTGAGTGCGCATGCGTCCCACTACTGGAACCGCATCCGGTAGAGACTTTTAACAACGTGTCTTTGGTCGATCCTTGATTCAGCTGATTATCTGTTTTAGATAAACGTCTGTTGTGTTTTTGATAGAAAGTATCCAACACTATTGGTTTTTGGGGAAATAAGTAACGCATTCCGCTAGGCGTTGTTGATTGTTGCTCGTTTTTGTTAATGAAAATTGCTTTTAATTTATAAAACGTTGGAAACGCCTCCAGATTAAGGCAGCACCGGCAAAAAGTGCGTTTGAAAGCATACCTAAATTTCCTCGATAGGACGTTGTAGAGTATGGGATTGACGGTTGAGCTCAGAAAATAGAGAACACCTGCAGATAAAATAGATGGAAATTAAAATCTTATGAAATCACTTTATGTTTGTCATAAAGTACAAGATATGTACAGACACTTGGTTTATAGGAAGTCATGTACCGAGGAAAATATACACAAAGACAAACATCAACATCCTGCCTCTGCACGGAAGTGCAAATACACAGTCCAGAATCAACACATGGTCAAAAAACAGGTCTATATATCAACCTATACAATAAAATTCGATTAACATGCAAGTATTTCTATAAAGTCAGTATATCGGCCAATACAATTAAATGGTCAATATACCGGTCAGTAACAATACGTAGTCAATATACAAGCCAGAAACAATACATGTACGTAGTCAATATACATGTCAGTATATACATGTCATTATACAGTCGAGTATCACTACATAGTCAATATACTTTCCAGTAGTAATACATAGTCAATTTACTGTCCAGTATTAAAACATAGTCAATATACTAGTACATAGTCAATATACAGTCCATTATAAATACATAGTCAATATATAGTTCCGTATTAATACATAGTCAATATACTGGCCAGTATCAATACATAGTCAAGATATAGTCCAGTATTAATACCTAGTCAATATACTGTCCAGCATCAATACATAGTATACACAGTTCAGTATCAATACAGGGACAATATATATTCCAGTATCAATACATAGTCAGTATACTGTCCAGTATCAATACTTAGTCAATATACTGTCCAGTATCAATACTTAGTCAATATACTGTCCAGTATCAATACTTAGTCAATATACTGTCCAGTATCAATACTTAGTCAATATACTGTCCAGTATCAAAACAAAGTCAATATAAAGTCCATTATCAATACATAGTCAATATACTGGCTAGTATCAATACATAGTCAATAAACAGTCCAGTATCAATACATACTCAATAAATTGTCCAGCATCAATACATAGTCAATATACTGGACATAGTCAATATACAGTCCATTATCAATACATAGTCAATATACTTTCCAGTAGTAATACATAGTAAATATACTGTCCAGTATCAATACTTAGTCAATATACTGTCCAGTATCAATGCATAGTAAATATACAGTCCAGTATCAATACATACTCAATAAATTGTCCAGCATCAATACATAGTCAATATACTCTCCAGTATCAATACATAGTCAGTATACTGTCCAGTATCAATACTTAGTCAATATACTGTCCAGTATAAATACTTAGTCAATATACAGTCCAGTATTAATACATAGTCAATATAAAGTGTCAAAATACAGTCCATTATCAATACATAGTCAATATAGAGGCCAGTATCAATACAAAGTCAATATATAGTTCAGTATTAATACATAGTCAATGTACTGTGCAGTATTAATACATAGTCAATGTACTGTCCAGTATTAATACATAGTCAATGTACTGTGCAGTATTAATACATAGTCAATGTACTGTCCAGTATTAATACATAGTCATTATAAAGTCCAGTATCAATACAGAGTCAATATACTGTCCAGTATAAATACATAGTCAATATATAGTTCCGTATTAATACATAGTCAATATAAAGACAAGTATCAATACATAGTCAATAAACTGTCCAGTATTAATACATAGTCATTATAAAGTCCAGTATCAATACAGAGTCAATATACTGTCCAGTATTAATACATAGTCATTATAAAGTCCAGTATCAATACATAATCAATATACAGTCCAGTATCAATACATATTCAATATACTGTCCAGTATTAAAACATAGTCAATATACTGTCGAGTATCAATACATAGTCAATATGAAATCCAGTATCGATACATAGTCAATATACTGTCTACATAGTCAATATACTGTCCAATATCAATACATAGTCAATATACTTTCCAGTAGTAATACATAGTAAATATACTGTCCAGTATCAAAACAAAGTCAATATAAAGTCCAGTATCAATACAGAGTCAATATACTGTCCAGTATTAAAACATAGTCAATATACTGTCGAGTATCAATACATAGTCAATATTCTGTCCAGTATCAATACATAGTATATGTATTTCTATAAAGTCAGTATATCGGCCAATACAATTAAATGGTCAATATACCGGTCAGTAACAATACGTAGTCAATATACAAGCCAGAAACAATACATGTACGTAGTTAATATACATGTCAGTATATACATGTCATTATACAGTCGAGTATCACTACATAGTCAATATACTTTCCAGTAGTAATACATAGTCAATTTACTGTCCAGTATTAAAACATAGTCAATATACTGTCGAGTATCAATACATAGTCAATAAACTGTCCAGTATCAATACATATTATATACAGTTCAGTATCAATACAGGGTCAATATAAAGTCCAGTATCAATACAGAGTCAATATACTGTCCAGTATCAGTACATAGTCAATATACTGTACAGTATTAATACAAAGTCAATATATAGTCCCGTATTAATACATAGTCAATATATAGTGCAGTATCAATACATAGTCAATAAATAGTCCAGCATCAATACATAGTCAATATACTCTCCAGTATCAATACATAGTCAAGATATAGTCCAGTATTAATACCTAGTCAATATACTGTCCAGCATCAATACATAGTCAATATACTGGCCAGTATCAATACATAGTCAAGATATAGTCCAGTATTAATACATTGTCAATATACTGTCCAGTATCAGTAAATAGTCAATATACAGTCCAGTACCAATACATAGTCAATATATAGTTCAGTATTAATACATAGTCAATGTACTGTCCAGTATTAATACATAGTCATTATAAAGTCCAGTATCAATACATAGGCAATAAACTGTCCAGTATTAATACATAGTCAATATAAAGACAAGTATCAATACATAGTCAATAAACAGTCCAGTATCAATACATATTCAATATACTGTCCAGTATTAATAAATAGTCAATATACTGTCCAGTATCAGTACCTAGTCAATATACAGTCCAGTATAAATACATAGTCAATATATAGTGCAGTATCAATACATAGTCAATATAAAGTGTCAAAATACAGTCCATTATCAATACATAGTCAATATACAGGCAAGTATAAATACTTAGTCAATATATAGTCAAGTATCAATACATAGTCAATAAATAGTCCAGCATCAATACATAGTCAATATACGGTCCAGTATCAATACATAGTCAGTATACTGTCCAGTATCAATACATATTATATACAGTTCAGTATCAATTCAGGGTCAATATATAGTCCAGTATCAATAAATAGTCAATATACAGTCCAGTATTAATACATAGTCAATATACTGTCGAGTATCAATACATAGTCAATAAACTGTCCAGTATTAATACATAGTCATTATAAAGTCCAGTATCAATACAGAGTCAATATACTGTCCAGTATAAATACATAGTCAATATAAAGTGTCAAAATACAGTCCATTATCAATACATAGTCAATATATAGTCCAGCATCAATACATAGTCAATATACTGGCTAGTATCAATACATAGTCAATAAATAGTCCAGCATCAATACATAGTCAATATACTGGCTAGTATCAATACATAGTCAATATACTTTCCAGTAGTAATACATAGTAAATATACTGTCCAGTATCAATATATAGTATATACAGTTCAGTATCAATTCAGGGTCAATATATAGTCTAGTATCAATCCATAGTCAATATATTGTCCAGTATCAATACATAGTCGATATATAGTCCAGTATTAATAAATAGTCAATATACTGTCCAGTATCAGTACCTAGTCAATATACAGTCCAGTACCAATACATAGTCAATATACAGTTCAGTATCAATACAGGGTCAATATATAGTCAAGTATCAATACATAGTCAATATTCTGTCCAGTATCAATACATAGTCGATATATAGTCCAGTATTAATACATTGTCAATATACTGTCCAGTATCAAAACAAAGTCAATATAAAGTCCATTATCAATACATAGTCAATATAGTCCAGTATTAATACATTGTCAATATACTGTCCAGTATCAGTACCTAGTCAATATACAGTCCAGTATAAATACATAGTCAATATACTGTACATAGTCAATATACAGTCCATTATCAATACATAGTCAATATAATGTCCAGTATCAATACATAGTATATGTATTTCTATAAAGTCAGTATATCGGCCAATACAATTAAATGGTCAATATACCGGTCAGTAACAATACGTAGTCAATATACAAGCCAGAAACAATACATGTACATAGTCAATATACATGTCAGTATAGACATGTCATTATACAGTCGAGTATCAGTACATAGTCAATATACTGTCCAGCATCAATACATAGTCAATATACTGTCGAGTATCAATACATAGTCAATAAACTGTCCAGTATTAATACATAGTCATTATAAAGTCCAGTATCAATACATAATCAATATACAGTCCAGTATCAATACATAGTCAAGATATAGTCCAGTATTAATACATAGTCAATATACTGTCCAGCATCAATACATAGTATATACAGTTCAGTATCAATACAGGGTCAATATACAGTCCAGTATCAATACATAGTCAATATATAGTCCAGTATTAATACATAGTCAATATACTGTCCAGTATCAATGCATAGTAAATATACAGTCCAGTATCAATACATAGTCAAGATATAGTCCAGTATTAATACATAGTCAATATACAGGCCAGTATCAATACATATTCAATATAAAGTCCAGTATCAATATATAGTCAATATACTGTCCAGTATCAATACATAGTATATATAGTTCAGTATCAATACAGGGTCAATATATAGTCCAGTATCAATGCATAGTCAGTATATTGTCCAGTATCAATACATAGTCAATATACTGTCCAGTATCAATAAAAAGTCAATATGAAATCCAGTATCAATACATAGTCAATATACTGTCCAGTATCAATACATAGACAATATAAAGTTCAGTATCAATACATAGTCAATATACTGTCCAGTATTAATACATAGTCAATATACTGTCCAGC